GCTCTAGCCACATTGAGGATATGCTGGTGTTTTCTTTCCACAACTGAATTCTGTTGTGGTCTATCCACACATGAATGAAAAACTTGAAGACCTTTGGAAGAGAAGACATCAGATAGATGAAATTCTGGGGCATTGTCACAACGGATAGATTTTATGGGAAGGTTGTATTGTGTAAGCATAAGTGTATAAAATTGAGGGAAAACAGTATGAAAATCAGACTTCTGTTTTAAAAAATAGCACCAAGTAAATCTGGTAGCATCATCTACTAAAGTCAAAAAATATTTATAACCATCAACCGAATGAACATGAAAAGGACCCCAGATATCACAATGGATCAAATCAAAAGCAGATTGAGACAATTTTGGATTCAGTATAAATGGTAATCTCCTTTGCTTTGCAATGGGACAGATCAAGTATGGAGAAGAGACACGATTGTTATCAGTAAAATGTAAATCATGTTTCATTGAATGTAAAATAGGATGAGACAAATGACCAAGAAGAAAATGCCAAACAACAGAACTTGGCATACTGGCAGAAGAACAAAGGGATGGGGGAGCATCAAATTGGGAAAAAGATAAAGCATCTAAAACATAAAGACCACCAATTCTTTTAGCAGTCCTAATCACTTTGGCCGATGAAAAGTCCTGAAGAGAACAAGAGGATGAAGAAAAATTAGCAACAATGGATGAGTTTTGAGTGAGTGCATTGATTGACAGTAGATTAAAGGAAAATGCAGGGACATATAAAACGTTATGAAGTATAATCGAAGGTGAGAGTTTAATGCTACCAATAGATTGAACAAAAACAGAAGTGTTATTTGGTAAAGACACAACAGAATCAGATGTGTGAGGTGTTGAAAGGAAAAATTGAGGTGTGCATGTAACATGATGTGTAGCACCCGTGTCCAGAACCCATGAGGTCAAAGGAAAAGAAGGAGGACACCTACCGCTGAAGCTGGCAACAGAAGCAGGAACCTCAGTGGCAGGTGGCAGTGGCGTGAAGGATGGCTGATTGTTAGGTGGAAGAAGACTTAAGAGTTGTTGGTATTGAGACTGAGTCAACGTGGGGTTATTTGATTCAACTGTAGTGGGAGTAGGTGTGTTAAAAACGGCATGGGCTGATGGAGGGAGTGGATTGGGCCGCGCAAATTTGGGCTTGTACCCAGGGGGAAATCCATGAAGCCTGAAGCATTTTTCCCTTATGTGACCAGAAACATGGCAGTAAGTGCATTGAGGACGAGCTCTGCGAAATGGAGCGGAAGAGATGGCTGCCATTGGAGTAGATCCAGAAATCGAAGAAGAAGCCATAGCTGAGGTAGAGTTCAGTGATGGTGAATCAGGCATCACCGGCAAAGGGCTCGTGATTTGACGTTGCCTCTCCTCCTGAAGCACTAGAGAGAAGATCCTGGATAATTGAGGGAGAGGCTCCATGAGCAAAATCTGAGCTCGAACAGAGGAAAAAGAATCGTTTAATCCCATCAAAAATTGGAGAGCATGATCATGTTTATGGAGATCTGAGATCAAACGCGAAGCACCATAGGTACAGGTAGGGATTGGAGAGTATTCCTGGAGTTCATCCCAAAGAATTTTAAGACGTGTGTAATATCCATTAACATCAAGACTACCCTGAGTAAGAGATGCAATCTGTTGCTTCAATTGAAATATTTTTGGACCATTGGCTTGAAGAAAACGAGTGCGAAGATTCGTCCAGATTTCAGATGCAGATGAGAAATAGAGAAGACTGTCAGAAATATCCTTTGAAACAGAGTTCAAGATCCAGGATGTTACCATGGAATTACAACGATTTCATGGTTGAAATAAGAGATCATCAGAAATAGGCCGTGGAAGAGATCCATCAATGAAAACCAATTTGTTCTTCGCTGATAATGCAATCATCATAGCGCGACTCCAAGAATGAAAATTAGATCCAAGAAGAACATGAGTGATGAGAGTGAGACCAGGATTATCACCACTACTTAAAAAATAAGAACTACTTGAATCCTCCATGGATGCAGAAGATGATAAAACTGAAGAAGTAGTAGCAGAACGAGAACTAGCAGCATTATTGGAACCACGAGCCATGAAGAGGGCTAAATTTCTACTGATACCATATTACTTGAGAAACAAAAAAAGAAAACAGAAAGAGAAAGAAAATTCATCTTGTATTATTGAAGATACTCAGAACTTTACATGTATGTCATTATATATATATAAAACTACTGAACACAGAAAGAAGGAGAAGGAGGAAAAGTTTGTTACAATTGAATCCTACGTGACACCTATACAGGATTCTAGAATGAAAATATATGGTAATAGGCCACACACTATAGCCCAGCAGCCCAAACTCTTTGACTATTAGACAGGGCAATTGTTATGAACCCGCATAATAGGCTTCATGCTGGGCGTGGGATTCAAACCAAAACCTACCACAATTAAGGAACCATCTATAAAATGGAGGTTTCACTTCACAGGTACACATCTAAAACCCTAGCTCCTTACTCACATCACCCTTCTTTTATTTCTCTTGGCCTTGATCATGTATAATGATACGAACTACCCACAATTGTCTCTTCCGTAGATACCGTCGGCCACTAAAATGCTACATCAATCTTTAATCCACCAAATCAAACAATAACCATAAATGATTAAAGTCATCTTTTCCTAAATAAATATTTAATGAGATTTTAATATTAAATATTCATACTAATATTTTCCTTCATGTGATTTTTTTTTTTTTTTTTTTTGTAAATACCTTAATGTGATTTTAATCTTGAATTGAATTAGTATATTATTTTAAAAATTAATAGTGAATTCGTAACAATTCTGATGGAAAGCACTCCTGAAATTGCAGGTCAGAAAAAGAAAAGGTGAAGGTTGATCTTTCAAAGATATGACCAGTCAACCGTATGGAGCTGGAAAAATGCCAATCACGTTAACATCTCCCAACATATGACGTATCTAGTTACGGATGCACAACAATTCAATGTTGACACGTAATCTGTTTGACCAACTTCACTTTTCTTCGATCTTGCTCTCCAAGAATAAGAGATCCACTTAAAAAAGGAACGGCTGTATTAATTATGTTAAATGTCAAGAATCTAATTTTAAAAACTATGAATTAACTAATAAAAGTTATATATTTAAAAAATAGATTAGTGTTTTTCATGTTGTATTATCTTCTACACATAAAAATATATGAGATATTTTTTTTTCTCTTTCTTCTTTTCTCATAGATCCACATAAGACTACACACTTTTATGTGTATGTAAGAGATAATTTTTTCTGAGAAATATAAATTCCTTAAAAAAATTGTTTTTATTATTCAGCATGTTATTTTCTTATTTAATGTGTACTTTTTTTTGTAAAAAAAGATTATCAAAAAATTCTCTTTTTTTACCAGGGAACATCAAAATATATTCCAAATCAATTTTGAAATTACATTCAAATTTAATCAAATGTTAAGGTAATAGAGCAGAGCCAAGACTAGAAGCCATAAAGTCGTTTAGAAATTACTTAGTTCTAAGATTGGATTTATTATTAACAGTTCTAAATTTTTTCAAAAATCGAATGTCCAAATATGTGACACCATATTGTAAGCATATGTTAGAAAGAATGTGGGATTCACGTTAATTCACTCTAAATGCATGCATGCCTTGGATTTTTTTCAACGTCTCATCCGTAACAATTTACAAATTCAGTTTCGCATTGATTAGCATTTTTCTTTCATTAAAATAGTTTTACCTTTATATTGGTCTATTCTTTTATTTTCCATGTGAGATGCTATGCCTCCTTTGTAAGTAAAAAAATAAGTAGAATTTAATTTATAATGGGTTTGATGTTTGTCATTTTAAATGACACAAATTATGTCATCTTAGGAGAGAGATGAAAATCATGGGAGAGAATTTGATTGGTTTTTTTTTTAAAAAAAACTTAAATAAAAAATTATTATGTGTCTATCTCTATCTTAAAATGACATAACTTTATGTTATTTAAAATGACAAATATTTTTCTAATTTATAATAGACAAAAAATGAACATAACGAATAAAGTACAAATAGAATATTTAAAAATTGAGAGAAACTGTTAAAAATGAGTAAAATGGTTCTTTCGATTAATGGAAATTGTATTTGGATTATTATTAATTTTAAAATTAAGTATAAATTGAGTAAAATTCTTTTTTTTTAAGTATCAGTGTTATTTTGATAAAAATTAATTGTATCTGAATTATTTGAAACGATCTCCAAACCGTGAATTCAGTACTACGGGTCGTTTCAGCTTAACCAGTGAAATTGAACAACATGTGGTTTTATCTCGTTTAATAAAATTAATTAATTAGTCACTTCAAGCGATGAAGATATAAAAAAAATGTGAGTTCAATTCTCACCAAATACAATTTTTCGAAAGGGACAAGTAATACTCAATTGGTGTATTTGAGTTGATAATACAAACTGAATAGGTAGGGAAAGAATTTAAATTTAATTTTAACCAAATACATTTTTATTGAAGAAACAAGTAATTTTAATTACCCAACTTGTGATTATTCTTGAAAAATTGAATAGGTAATTAAGTCAGTATAAAAAAAATATTATTATTTACCAAAACAAAAATATTATTAGAAACAGAAATTTCCAATAATTCTTTTCACTGTTTTAAAGAAATTGTCAAGCTACCAAATGGTGGTAGCTCAGTTGGCGCATGGGAGCTGAGCAGGTGGGGTGAGGGCATGTGTTCGAACCTCCCCAATACCACTTTTGGAATTCTGGACCCGCCCCAAATCGGACTAATCGCGAAGCGATGAACTATTTCCAAAAAAAAAAAGAAATTGTCAAGCTGCCGCGAAGACTCCCAAGACCGAGCATCTTTAATTGTATTGGTTAATGGACATTTTGTTTCATTCAAAATTGTCAAGCTCCAGAAACTTTCTGGTATAAAACCCGCGACGACTGAAAATTGTTTCATTCAAAAAACAGAACCATCATCAAAGAACCGTTTTGGCTCCAGTCCAAGGAATTGGGAGAAAGGAGAGACCCTTCCTCTTTCCTTGCTTTCTTCGAAACTTTCTCAGACTGTTGTTTCATTGTCATTTCCCCACTTCCATTTCCATTCCTTCATGGCCCTTTCAGACAATTCTCTGATCCCAAAGTTCCTCTACTCGTCCTCACAACAGAAGAAGATGGTGGCGAACTCTGCCATCCCCGTGGCGGCATCTTCGCCGCCACCTTCGAATTCAAACTTCATGATTCCAGCTCCGAGCGAGCCTGGCAAAATCCAGATGTTCTCGCCGGCCTACTATGCAGCTTGCACCGTTGGTGGAAGCCTCTGTTGTGGCCTCACTCACATGGGCATTACACCTCTTGACGTTCTCAAATGTAATATGCAGGTTCGACTCTTCCACCCTTAATAACATATTAATAATTTTATATTATATATACACACACAATTGTTTTTGGTTTTGAAGGGCTGAAAACTTATGTGTTTATTTGAGTTTAATTTCTGGAAGGAAAATAAAGTTATTTCCTATAAACATATGTAAGATGTGGGGTTCATCTTTTTTCTTTTTATTTTTTCTTTATATGACTTCACATGGACTTTATATATTTTTACATGTCTAAGAAATAAATTTATCTTCTATAATATAAATTTATTTATTGGGATTAATATTTTTCATTCATATAGCTTTATGAGGAGGATTATGTTGATAAATTTTCTTTTTCTACAAACTTACAAATTATATTATATCTTACGAGTAAAACTTTATTTAAGAATATCTTACCAATAAAATATAATAATTTATAAATAAAAAATTTATAAATATAATATCCCCTGACTTTAATTTCTTGTATTCCTATAAAAGTGTAGGTGTAACTCATTTTTGTTTCCTCTCTTGACGAGCCCCACTAACTTTTATCTTGGAGGAAAAATATTATTCCTTATTCATTTTATACTAATTAAACTTTGGGAAAAGTTTATCAATGTCTCTGTGGTTGGCTTCAGAATTATCTATGCTCCTGTGATTTTTTTATCACATATGCCCCTGTACTTTGTAAAAAATAAAAAATCACAGGGGCATATGTGATAAAGAACATACCCTTTTGCAAACCACAGGGGCATATGAGATAGAAAAAAAATCACAGGGGCATAGGTGATTCTGAAGCAAACCACAGGGGCATTGGTGAAGTTTTCCCTTAAACTTTTTATTAAAAGATGGTTAGTTACATAGTCTATGATACCGTGACATAAGTAGGGTCTCAGGGCATGTTTGGTGTGATGTATAAGGCCTGATAGTATAAGCTTGTACTATACATTATGACATATTCAGTTGTTTGGTGTGACCATCGTATAGTATAAGCTTATACAGCAGGATCCCTTTATACATCAAAGTGATGTATAACTTAATCCGGCCTAAGAGTGGTGGATTATGCCTGATAAGGGGTTGATGTATTAATATTGCTTACAAGTACAATTCTCAAGAACTAATATATCATTTCACTATTTATATATTAAAATAAATTTTTTAATATATTAATTTTTAAAATATTGAAGGATATTATCTTATACAATATCATACCAAACACTGGATAGTATTCAAATTTAATCAGGTCTTATACAATCAGATCTTATACTATCAAGTCTTATATTATCAAACTTTATCCTATACTATGCACCAAATATGCCCTAATGTCGTATTATGGCGTGATCATGCAATCTAAAAAAATCTTAGTTATTCATTTATAAATCAACTATTGACAATCAAAATGTACATTTGCTTTATTCTATTTTACAGATTTGGTCATCAAAAATCATAATCATTGATATTTTAATTAATGATGGAGATTTTTACCATAATATGTTTAAGTTAAAATAAAATATGAAACTCTTGCAAGTACCAACCCAAAACAGGGTCATTATAGCTATGAGCCATATTTTATGTGATGAGTAAGTCTTTTACATTAAATATCATTTTACACCCTTCATAAAAATTATTTTTCTTTTGCTATTGAATTCTAAAATACATATAATTTCGTCTGCTGCACAAAAAATCCTAGATCGCACTGCATCAAAGGATCCATTAAGTCATAAATAATTATGGCGACTAACGTAAACATATAGGAATGATTTTATATTACATTTTTAATAAAATTAAAGAGAAATATTAATCTCATAGGAAATTATTTCATATCATAAGCACAAAATATGTGAGATGCACTATTTTAAAAAAAATAAAAAATAAATAAATATGTAGACCTCACATACTTTGTGTATACGGCGTGAGATATTAGTCTCCTTATAACATAGTATTAGTATTTCCCAAAATTAAATTAATTGTTTTATGTCATGGGGTTTGCATTTGTTATTTAACATGACACAACAAATTTTTTTACACACATAATATTTTGTGGAGCCCACACTTAAAAAAAAAAAAATTACCCACACAGAACGAATCTATATAACATTACCGAATCACTTTTCATACGTTATAAAACGCTTAATGTTATTTGATTCAACTCCGTTGCTACTTGGTTTGTTATTTAACATTTTAGTTAGTTTTATCAAATTTCAGATTGACCCTGTGAAGTACAAGAACATATCCTCTGGATTTGGAGTTTTGCTTAAGGAGCAAGGACTTAGGGGCTTTTTCCGGGGATGGGCACCTACATATCTGGGTTACAGCGCACAAGGTGCCTTGAAATATGGATTCTATGAGTACTTTAAGAAATACTATTCTGATATTGCTGGCCCGGAATATGCAACCAAGTACAAGACCTTAATCTACCTTGCTGGTTCTGCATCTTCCGAGTTAATTGCTGATGTTGCTCTTTGCCCCTTTGAGGCCGTCAAGATCAGAGTTCAAACTCAACCTGGTTTTGCTAGAGGCCTTGCTGATGGGTTACCCAAATTGGTTAAATCTGAAGGAGTCTCAGGGTATGCTTATAATTTTATAAATATTGTTAATTTAACTGTTCCAATGTTTTGGTAGAAGGTGGTGTGGAATTGTACATGCTACTCATGCTATATACTAAGGATAAGCATTTAATTAAATGTTCTATGATTTCAGGCTGTACAAGGGAATTGTGCCTTTGTGGGGAAGACAGGTTCCATGTAAGTTGCCCATCTTAAACTTTTTTATTTGCACTATATTATTCCTTCTTGATGAATTGGCTGCTTATGTGTAATGTGTTGCTCAACATGTCTTACTTTGGTTGCCAACTGATGCTTTGTCACGAACTAAATCTTCAAAATATTTAAGTTGTTTGGTGAAGACAAATGAATAGTTTTATATTATATCTCTTTTGGCCATTGAGTACAGATAGTGCACATATAGTCTAGACCATTTGATTATTTAGTATCCGATCACGAATCATCTTCCCAAAAGTTTAAGTTATTAAGTAAAAGTACTTGAATGATTGTATATTACATCTCTAATTTGGAACTCAATTTTTCATTGGGTTTCACATTACTTGTCTTTTCCTGCTGCTCATTCAGCCAGTTGATCACTAACTTTAGCTTTTCCCTTTATTCCTATGGTTTCACAGGGGATAACATATGGGAAATGTTTTTCTTATCTTATTGGAGATGAGTTATCTTATGTTAGTGAAACAAAATTATAAGAGGGACCCACAAATAATTGAAGAAAAAAAAAATAGAGATCCACCCACCTTTGTTATGTGTGTGTAGGAATTTGGTTTAAATATAACCCATAACATATATATATATAAAACTTAATGGCTGGATATTGTATAAAACATGCTGCAGTTCCAAGTCCTAATTTGATAACTGTAGCTTCTGTTCTTTTATGTAATTAAAATCCTGCAGGCTTTTATTTTAGTGTTAGTCATTCTTCTATTTAGTTAGTAAAACAATAGAGTAACTTGTGAAATTTAAGAAATTCTGTTTATGAAGAGTCTGAAAGCTTGTCAAGAGTCTCTGTAGTTTCTTTTCTTTTTGCTATTAACTTGTCATTGTAGAAAATTTATCAATGACCCTTTGTGCTTTTCTTTATAACAACACGTTTGGAAAATTGCAAATCAGTTGTCATTTATTGTTGATTTCGGATGCATATATACTTAATATAATACTGATAAGAAGTTAGAAATTGTAAAGGGAATTGGAAGATGATTTTAACGGAAGCCAAAAGATTTGTTATATGATAATAAAACCAGAATAGAATGTGATAATGTTTTTCTTTGCAGATACAATGATGAAGTTTGCTTCTTATGAGAACATTGTTGAGATGATCTATAAGCATGCTATTCCCACACCAAAAGATGAATGCAGTAACACTTTGCAACTTGGTGTGAGTTTTGCTGGTGGATATATAGCTGGTATATTATGTGCAGTTGTGTCTCATCCTGCTGATAACATTGTCTCTTTCCTTAACAATTCCAAAGGGGCAACAATTGGTGATGTAAGTGCAAGATTTGATGTAAATTTTTAATGCTGTGTTTGGTATTTTATTTACATAGCTACATTTGACAAGATTTTATTTTTTATTTTATTTTTATGTTGTCTACTATGTAATGCAGGCTGTAAAGAATCTTGGATTGTGGGGTCTATTTACCCGTGGTCTCCCTCTACGTATTTTCATGATTGGAACTCTCACTGGAACTCAATGGGGAATTTATGATTCATTCAAAGTTTTTGTGGGGCTGTAAGTTTATACAATTGCTATATGCTTCTCTTATGTTGTTTGGTTTATATAAATGTTCTTCATTTGGATGTAATAATGAAATTCTTTTTTCCTTATTAGGCCAACCACTGGTGGTGTTGCTCCTGCTGCTGTTCCTGCTCACGCTTCAGCTACTTAAGCTTGCAAAGGTGTAAAATGTCCAAGGAAGCAAGATGAACACTTAATTGTTTGTTTCAGGAACTAAGAAAACCAGAAAATGAGGACCGTGATTAAACAGAGGAATGGTGAAGTTGCTTGAGTGAGAATTTTGAATAATCTAAATAGTTATTATTATTTTTTTCTATTTTTTTTTTTTGTTATAGGTAGGTTTTTTTCTCCTTTACATGGCTCCCAGAGCATGGGAGGGAAAACGAAAAAAAAAAAAAAAAAAAAACTAATTATTTTTTTGTAATAATATATACTGAAAATATAAAGTAATTGCCATAAAAAAATATTTATATATCAAAGTACTCACACTACTTTTGTAATTGTTTGTTTGTGAAAGTAAATATAGCGAGTGTTTTTTAAGGTATCTATAAAGAAAGTAGTGCAAAATTGGAATTACAAAATTTATGTACACTACCCGTTGTGATATATTTGTGTTGATCCATCTATTTTTTGTTTTTTTAACTTTTGTTTATTGTTGTTTTGCTTTCTTTCCATGTATTATTTAAAAAAGAAAAGAAAAAAAGACCTGATGTGTGAAGGAAAAAGGTAAGTTAAAGTGAAGCAAAACGACCTTTGTGAGCTTAGAATCATTATTTTCAAAAGAGATGATACCACTTTAACCAAGGTTTATGGTGTAACTAATTAATTAATTGTCACACCAGTAATAATTTTTGACAAAGAATGGCCCGCATTATATTTATATCCAAAGAGCTTTAGTGGTGACACCTTTTATCTTGTTACTCGTAATTTTATTTTATTTTTTCATTCATTCTGTCACATGTCTATTTGTTTTATATTCTCCACTAGCATAAGAATTACTTTCAAATTCCACATGCCGGTCCTTTTTCACTCACTCTCAGCATAGCTTCTTTTAAACTAGTTTGCAACTACACCTAGCGGTCTCTAATTAACCCATTGTTCAGAAAAGATTACAAGTGCTAATTATATATTTATGGTACTAGCGTACATTATATCATATTATTTATTAATATATATAAGGAATTTCCTTTATTATATTAGTTTTTATTGAATGAACATAATAAAATCCTTAAAATATTAAATTCAATTTCTTAAGAAATCAAGTGTATGACAATGTGAGATCGGATAAAATTATAATAGAGCAAATACTCTTTTGGGTCCCTAACAAAAAACACGGTTCCCACTTTAGTTTCTTATAAAAAAAAATTAGTCTTGACGTCCCTAACAAATTCAAAGTGGACCCATTTAGTTAAAATCGTGCTCCCTCACAAATTCAAAAAAGACCAATATTAGTCTCTCAAAAGGACTAAAATGGATCCACATTGAATTTTATAGGGAGCAAGTGACTATTTTTTTTTTCGTAAAGGACTAAAATGGGATCGTATTTTTTGTTAGGTACCCAAAATAGTATTTACTTATTATAATATTATGCCCATAATCAAATATTGTAAATTGTTACAACAATATGTGAACCATTTGCATTCAAAGAAAAAAATTTGATGACCTCATATCAATAAAGTTTGGATGACAATAAATCAACAAGATGAGTGAATTTCAACTACAATCACAAAGGAACAATCAAAAGAAAATCTAACAAGCATCAAATAAGGTTAGAAGTTGAAACTCTCTTCTTACACCAACACCAAAGTGGGTTTTCTTCCTATACAAAGTTTCTAGGTTGAAAAATGATAGGTGGGTTTTACTTTCTATAGATAGCTTAACAACTTTCATGAAGGGGAAATAGCCATTTTTATGGCTGAATCAAAAGTGGGTATTCAAGCATTAAGAGAAGGCAAGGTTTGGCCATGAAGAAAGAGACTTTACGATGGAGATGAAATTTGAAGAGATTGGAAAAGTTTGGCCATGGAGAAGGCAAGGTTTGGCCATTGAGAAAGAGACTTTACGGTGGAGATGAAATTTGAAGAGATTGGAAATGCTTTTGTGACTATTTGATGACTTTTGACTTTTAGTCAAAATATCTAATTAGCAAATATCAGTTTGCCTTGAAAAGTGACTTGACTTAAAAAAAATTGAATTCTTCGTCTAATCAACTTCTTTTGACCATTAAATAATTTCTAATATTTAATTTAATTATTTTGGTTATTATAGTTGACATTGAATTTATAACAAGTTGATACTTCTTGGTCCACTTTGTGTAAGGTTTTAAGGCCATGCATATAAGGTACTATCTAATCGTCATGTTTATAAGGTTGATTGAGAGCATACATTGAGCATTGCATACATTTTGGTCCACTTTGTTGGTTGTGTTTTGAAAATCATTTTGATCTACATATCATCTAGAATAATCAGTGACCAAAGAGCGCATACTTTGAAAGCTATCTGATTTCAATTTGTTTCAAAAAAAAATACAATTGTCATTGTTGTAACAACCCAAAAAATTTAAATTTCAAAATGTTGGAGTTACCACAAATTTTATTTGAGTAGGGAAAAAGTAGAACACCCTTTTATTTAACAAAACTAGCTTTTTAAAATTTTAAATCAAGGTTAGGGAATATGATTGTGTAGAGAAAAAAGATGAAAACTTAATCTTAATGCGCCTCTAGTACATGCATTTAAAAATGATCACCTTAAGTTAATTGTCCAAATTGTTAATAAATTTTAAAATATATTTAATTTTCTCTTATAATAAATGGGAGATATAGAACGAAATGAAATTTGTAAAATATTAAGTTATTATCTTTTTTAAAGAGATGAATAAAAAATTCAAATAATTGAATCTTAAATTTTTTATTTTTTATATAATTTAAATGGAACAACACATGAAACAAAGTAAATTGATTTTTTTATTATTTTATTTCAAAATAAAACGAAAATTATTGACTAATGATTTTAAAACAAAAAAAGAATTGTAAGAAAAAAATATCAGATGGAGTCTAAGGTAGCACTGCTAGGAAAAATAATTAAGTGATCCAGACCCATTTTATTATTTGGTGGTCCTTCTCACATGAGTAAATTTTTTCTTCCATTTTTACCCCTCTCATTTTTTTTCTTTTCCCATTTTGCCCCCCTGTTTTGTGAGAAGGAGCACCCCAAATTTTATGGGCCAGGAGCACTACATTTCTTCTCCACTGCTAGGTGAAGACCCTAGCGAAGGAGCGCATCTTGAGTATGGTAGCACTGAAAATTGGGTGTGACATCAATTTTACACTATGTACTACACGTAGTACATAGTGTAAAGTATAAAAGTTATTTTTTTTGTTTCTCTCTCCAATATAATTGTAGCTTATGTGGCACACTCCTATTTTCTAGATATATTTACTCCCATAGTGTATTAGATTTTTCGCCAGCGAAGATACAACACTTAAGATGACAAGCACACATTAATGTTGTATATCACTATATTGATTGAAAATTCGAAAAAATTATGTAGCACTTGTAACGTCCGGCCACATGCAGGGTCAATGAATCTCCCCACAAACCAACTCAAGACTTTTCAACTTCGCTTTATCGTCATTCACACACTTCTTGAGAAACTTCTTAATAAGTCATCCATCTTAGAATTACTGGAGTTCTTAAGTTATGGGCTACCAAAAAGTATATGCATCTTGTTAATATAGATATATATTTAATCTTTTAAGTCATCCTCAACTGTACAGTTCCATACTTGCATAGCCTATGGATCTCTCTCATTGGTGTTGATTCGATTCATTCATGTACATTTCTCACTGGAAGCCTGTCAGAAGCATATTGTCACAGTCCTCTTACCTTAGCGGGTGTGGACTCTAGGCAATGTGATTTTGAGTGGTAATACAGTTCAACCCACGTGCTAAAAGACTATCTACTCTCGGCCCTCATTCACGTCCAGAATATTACATTTTACATTTTCAGTCTTTAGAATTTTCATAAAAAGAATTAAGCCCATATCACATAAGGTTTAGGACAGGGTGCCTATACGAAAACCCTCATAACATATACTATTTGAGGTTGGAAAACCGTACAACATGGTAAGTCATTGCATGAGTTTAAAAGCAATTTGTGTTTTCATTTTTTGTTTATCAAGATAGAATGATGTCAAAGAGCGAACAAATAATAGTAATAAAAAAATCAAAAGAAAGCCTCAACACAAATTACTTTTCTTATATGCATTAAATATTTTGGTTTTTTAATTAGGGGAATGATCCGTTTATAAACTTTTTTTATAAAATTTTGCAAATTACACTGTGTACTTCTGAAATATATAGTATAACCTAGTGTACTTTCGAGAGTACATAGTGTAGTTTGTAAATAAAAAGTTTGTAAATATAACCATCCCCAAAAATTTGGAGATAGTTATATTATATAATTTATATTTATAAATTTTTTGTTTATAAACTCTTACAAACTACACATTTTTTGGAACAGTTATATTTACAAACTTTTTGTTTACAAACTAGATTATGTACTCTCTGAAATACACTAGGTTACACTATGTACTTCCGGAAGTACATAGTGTAATTTGTAAAAATTTGTAAAAAAAAATTTGTAAATGAATTCTTCTCCTTATTTGCAATAATTGCGTTTCTAAATAAAACCATAAACGGAGATCACAAAAATCACCCCAAATGATTTATGAAAGTATGAGCATCCATATCAAAATACACCTTGTTGAAAGCAACAAAAATTCAAACCAGATCCACATTCTAAATCAAAATTGTGCATAGGGTGAATGCTATCAAGACCCAAGAAACAATCTTGGACTACAAATGCTTCAATGTGTTATCAAAGCAACAACACAACGACACAGAATATGCAACATACCCACAGGCCACAAATTATCTATGCATTTACAACCGGAAATAAGATTTGTGGAAGGTCCTTCACCCTACCCGCAAGTGAAGCTAATTATTCAACAATTTAACATACTCATGAAGTGGATTTATATAGGATCCGAGTTGCTCACTCCAATTTAAACCCAAAACAAGAAAATTAGTTACAAACTAACCGAATTAGTTCTATAAGGGTGTAAATGAGTTGAGCCGAGCCAAGCTTTAGTTTAAACGAGTTAAGCCTACAAAAAAATATTTTGAACTTGGCTTGACTCATTAATTTGGCACGAGCTAAATTCTAGGCTTGGCTCGACTTGTTTATAAAAAAATTTAAAGGCTTAGTTTGAGCTTGGTTTGGCTCATTTATAATTATAAAATGTATTTTTTCCAAACTCGCATATATCCAAATGTTGAGACTATAAATGCATCAAATTCTCTATTTCTTTGACAGAGAAAAAACAATCATAAAACACATTCAGTCCACATATATTTTAAGATCGAATAATAAGTTCCGCAATTTTTTCTTAAACATTGATCCATCTCATCATGACTTAATAAACCAAGAGAATATGCGAGCGACACCACTTGCAATGCAGATAAGAACACACACACACACACACACACAAAACCTGCGACGACTTCACTGCTAATATAATAAACTGTCCAAACTCCAAAGCTTATTATATTATAATCTTCAAAGAAGAATAGAGAAAGAGTACCTGAGTTTGGTCAGTTGCTTATGGAGTTAAAGACAACAGTAAAAAAAATTGGGTTAAAAAAATAAGGTTAATGATTTAATGATATAAAAATATTATTTATTGTAATAATATATCAGCCAGCTCACGAGCTTCCAAGCCAAGCCTCGTTAAATTAGGCTTGGGCTTGTTTGCTAAATAAGCTTTTTTTAAAGCTTGAGCTCGTTCTATTTATTAAACAAGTCAGGTCAAACCAAACTTAAAGCAAGCTAAGCCTTGAGCCCTTGACAAGCCGCTCGGCCCATTTACCCCCCTAGTTTTATGTACAATCAAACCGATTTCCATTTCACATGAACAAGTTTTATAATGTTTTATACAAAATAGGTGGTGCATAACATTCAACACTACGTATTCTAGTATTTAGTGGTGTAAATAGGTTGGGTTGAGCTGGACTTTGACTTAAATAGCTAATACCTTTGTAAAATACTTTATAACTTGTCTGATCTGTTAGCCTTGTGTAAGCACAAAGTATAAGTCTAGTCTGACTTATATTTAAAAATAAAAGTCTTGACCTAGGCTTGTTAACATGTTTATATGCTTTGCAAGCAATTTTCAAGATAAATGGAAAATATTTAAAAGCATGCCCTAATCTCATGTAGTGGTTGCAAACTCTCATATACACACACTCTCGCTCCATATAGTATAATCATAAGGTTTTTTTTTTGGATATTTGTATAATCATAAGGTTTAACTAACTACAAGCAAATGAACATAAACATGTATTTGAAGAGAAGACACAAGGACAAGTAAGACTCCAAATTTTTTTATTTAAAACCGAGGCAAGAAACGAAAGACGATGGGGGTATTTAAAAGATATAATCGTTATTTGATATATTCATCAATTTTATCCAATAAACATGAACTTTAATCTCTAACAGGCGATTGATTATGTCATCCCCTACATGTCAGCATTCCATTTTGTTATACAATATGAAAAATAATTGTCTTATGTTACATAAGATAACTATTTTATGTTGTATACTCATAAAATCTTGTGCCCATTTTTTCTTTTTCTTTTTTCTTTTTTTTAAAATTGTGGACCCCACAACTTTATTTCATCCACATAAAATATATATTTTATGTAACATAAGATTAATAACTCCCTATAGATATATGCTTTCAACACCATGATTTCAAGGAGGAATTCACACTTAAGAACTCGTATTTGTCGGTAAGAATTCTTTAAAGAGAATTGGTGACTAAAACCTCCTTTCAAACATTTTTTGAGCATGTTCAAAAATAAAAAATAATAATACTTCAGATCAGGAAAATGAACTAACAATCTATATTTACCTGACAACATTGCTCAAAATTCACTCAAATAGAAAAATATGCAAGGAAGAAGCATCCCCTTACAACAAATTAGTATGAACAGTATTTATAGATCAACGAGAAATAATTGTATTACTCACTGTTTTTCTCTCTAAAAGAGAATAGAAGAACGATTGAAGCCCTTACAAAATAAATTTGTTTTGCTTTTTTGTAAACAGCTAACACTCTACGTTGGTATCCCTTTAGCTTGCCTCTAGCAGTAGAAGCCAAATTTTGTTTTTAGACCCGATATATATATATATATATATATATATGGGCTTAACATTTCTGCAGCAGCCGTAGATAGTGTTGTTATCTACAGCTGAGACAGAAAAGTGAGCCCCACGGCTTTTTAAAAAAAAAAAAAACTCAGGATCCGTTGCCGTATCCTAGGATTCGGACGTGTATCCTTGCTTGCTGTAGGTACAGCAGCTGCAGAAATCATTTTGCATATATATATATATATATATATATATATATATATATATATATATATATATATATATATATATAGGTAGGATCCTTTGACACCGGTGTCAAATTTTAAATTTGACACCTCATCTTATAGCCGTTAGATCAAAAAAGATCAACGACTCTAACTTGTAAGCATGTGACTCCATTGATCTTTTTTGATCTAACGGCTATAAGATGAGGTGTCAAATTTAAAATTTGACACCGGTGTCAAAGGATATATATATATATATATATATATATATATATATATATATATATATATATATATATATATATATATATATATATATATATTTGCTATTGATATCACAAATCAGCCCTTAAATTCATCATAACTTTTAGGAACCTTAAATGCCCCGAAAAGAAGTAACTTCTAAAATTACTTTCTTCTCGAGGGATATAATTTTCAAGAGGACTCAGCGGTCACCCACTAAAATTAGTAAAGCATGACTCATCTAAATACATTTACCCCATCACATTTTTTATTTTTAATATCACATTAATTTTCACTTATTTTTATTTTAACAAGGAGTAGTAGGTATTACAAAAGTAATACAAATTTACTCATTGATATAGATGACTAATTCATTCCATAATATATTTTAAAAATCATCCAAGATATTTTATAAAGTATTTAAAGATACAATAAACATATTTAAAATATGGAAATTGTTTATCTCATTTAACATGAGATAAACTCATTTTTCTATACTCACATGTATATGAGAGATGAAAGAGAATAGAGAAGAGAGAAAAGTATAAATGGATCCCACCACTCAATATGTGAGTGTAGGAAAATGAATTTATCTCGTGTTAAATGAGAAAACAATTCCTTTTAAAATATATAGTAGATATTCTATCAAAATACACAAGTATAAATTTCTCACGTCCCGTAATGACAGACGAGAAAACTTTATGAAATTCATACAAGTTGCTAATGATCAACCTTGAACCACAACTGCCCTCAAATTTACCAGATCCTTCTAGAACCTTGAATGCTTCAATTATGTATGATAGATTAAAATAATGAAACATGAGCCTAATATACAATATCTTCGATCGCTTCCTAGCATTATTACTGCCCAAAGGAATCCTTAGCGGACTTTGAAACGAGACAGGACTTGTTTCAAGGAGCGCTCAGATGAGATTGATAGTGAAGGAAACATAAGGGTGGGTATCAGCATCACCTGCTAGGCCAGCCATCCCACTTCCTACTTCATCCTCGGTCTTCCAGTATGCACTGCGGGCAAAATATGACAGGGCCAATATGAGCATGTATGACACTAAAGAGAGAACAGTAAAAAGGCTACGAATAAAAAAGATAAAATAGATTAATGATAAAAACAAAAAATATGGTCTATATGTATCAAAATATTAGAAGAAAGCAAGTTCTGCTACAGTATGTTACAATAGCTGAATTGAGTTTCTGAGCTAACATAAATCAGAATAATTGGAAAGGAGTAAGAATCCAAGATACTAAGAAATTCTTGAGTGCCAACGAAAAACTAAAAGGGAGTATGCTTCGGGTATGTGTTTTGAATAACTCTACACATTTACAGTTTTATAATTATTCATGATGAAAGAAGAATACCATCACTCTCTCTCTCTCTCTCTCTCTCTCTATATATATATATATATAGAGAGAGAGAGAGAGAGAGATCAATTTTCAATAACAATCTACTATCTACAACTTCCTAATTATTAAGGCTAAGATTTTTGTATATTAGAGGCACAAAAGAGACCAGTCCCATGTTTTTCCATATTACAGTATATTGCCCTCACATTGCAGGGCAAGGATTAAATTTATTTAAAAATCACTCCCTATTAAACCCCGACTAGAGATGATATGGATGAAAGCAATTCTTGTACACAATCTTACTCATATATTAACAGAGAGGCTGTTTCCCAAAATCAAATCATGACCTTTCAATTACAAAAGGAGCAGTTTTATCATTACTTCAAGTTCACCCTCTTTAAGGATTAAATTTATTATCAAATAAAAATACAAAAAGAAAGTATAAAGGAAAAATCAACTAATTAGGGCAGCAATAGAGTAGAAGTAAAAGTAAAAGCAAAAGATAAAAAGTGATAATGGGTTAACGATGCCTAAAAAATTCGAAGATGGCAATAAAGATAGGATATGTGGCAATATGATGCAAGGACGTGGACATATTTTACATTGATGCTTCCTTAAAAAAGGAGAGATTCAAGAGTGAGATTGTTGGAGAGAAATCACAGGAATTTGGCAAGGCATGGACTGTGTTATATAGAAGTACAGATTAGGCGAAGCAGCAATAAATTTCTCTAGTTTACTTTTGCTCCTCTTTATCTGGATCTTAAGGGTGTCAAGTGTCGACTTCTCTAATAGGTTGTTAGTCAAGGATTGTGACGATTAATCAAAAAATACACCAAATATGGTTATACTCTCTTCTTTAACGTGAAAACATAAAACCTGTTGAGTTTCTAATGCATTTACCGAATTTTATGAAGAGGGTGCGTGCATGAAACTGTCAAATAATTTACTGTTCAACCCATGTACCTTGACAAGCTACCCAAAATTATAAATCCAAAGGTTTTCTCAAACATTGCATGTTCTCTATATATCTAAATGAAATAACAAAGGGAAAGAAAAAAGATCTTGAACCCAATCATGTCTGTCTTTGCACAAATAAATCTTCGTACTGCGTAAATTTAATAAGTACATCTATTTTAAACCACTCCATAAACAGAAATAAGGCACTTGCCTGTTTGTGCTATCACTCAACCCTTCAAGGATAGACCTTACTTTCTTCTCAGCTTTCACTGATGGAGCTAAAACACATGCCTGGAATGACCACAAGAACCAAAGCACAGTGATAAATCTTTGAAGGGGGGAAAAGGAAAACTAAGATGAAAAGATTTGTGCATAGAAGAAAATATCTCTACCAAGAAAGATGGTGGTAGACCATATCTTAGAATGCTCTCAGTAAAAACACGTACAGCACAAAAGTGCATCCAGGAGCTGAAAACCTTCATGACAAAAAAAAGGTAAAAGTAATGAGTTAGAAGTCACAGTATTTTTTATAACAGCGCAAGCACAAGCGATAAGAGAACTTATTATAGTTTTATGACAGTGAGAACAACAAAATTTCAAGGTCAACAAACACAAGAAATTTAAGCTGAGAAACTAAGAACCACACCATAACGCCAACAGTAGCTAGTCCAAAAATATACATTATTGTTATCAGAAACCCGTATGCAGATAGTCATGTAATTCTGGGGATATTTCTACAAATTAAATGAAATGATAAATAAACAAATAATACCTCTCCATAACTGGTATAACACCATTGCAATAGAGAACCCCTCAAACTTTCCAGATCTCCCATCAATTTCTCTAACTCCTGCTTCCGACTCTCATGTGATTCTGGACTGTGTTCGAAATCACGAATCTGAACACAAGACATATAAAATTCCATTAGATACCTCTCACCAACTCATGAATTGATATAGCACACTTGGCATAACGTGTCTCACGCATTCCCACATATTTCCATAAACCACTTACAGGATGAAAATCTAAAAACAAATATGGATTTAACTTATATTAACAAATTGTAGTCCATATATGCAACTTAAAGAAAAGTACTTACTTGGAACCCTTTTTCCCGTGCGCTAGTTCTAAAATTGTCTGCAACACGACTGAAGAGTGTAACAGTATAAAGAGCATATTCATTATCCTCATACAACTTCTTGGAAGACCTGGGGACCTAAAATACTTTCTTAATCAGAATAACAAAAACATCAAGGAAAAAAATCATGTTCGGAAATGTTCAAGAGTTAGAAAACATTGTTTGACTATTTATATAAATTACAGGAAATTTTTTATTAATCAAGTGGGAAATATTCCAAATCACCGTTTACAATAATTTCAGGGTAGTAGCAGCAGAAATATGAATATGTGAGCAAATATGGTCACACTTACCACATAACTTGTCAATGTTTCATAGCTTGAGAGCCAATCCTTCTGTGAATACTTGGACACAATTGCTAGAAGGGTAGTTAAATGTTCTGAAGTTATAATATCCTCAGGTTTAACCAAGTTGGAAAGGTCACGGACAGCTAAGCTAAAACAGGCAAATATGTCATTTAAGTCAACTAAGAAATATAATACAATAATATAGTTAAAAGCCATGATCAGCCAATAAACAACATTCACACCTTCCACTTTGCTTTCTGTTGATGGCATTAAGCTGGCTGCGGATATTGTTAAACTCAGAAACACGAACCTGACATGAAAGACAAAATTTTAAGGGCAAAACAGAAAATTCAATCTACACCATGCAAATTAAAGATTTTGTACTTTACTTTCTTTATTGACAAAGAACAATGTTCATTTTTGTTTTATTTTTTAATTTTTGAAAAGGGATGGGGGGACAATTTTAGCAGGTAATAGGCCATGCATGTGAAAAGACATGAATTTGACCATATCGAATTCTGAGTATTAAACTTTAATTCATTCAGTAATGGAACAACTTATACTCATATAATCTCCAAATAAAAATTGTCTTTGTTTTTTAAACAAATTGACAGCTTTTGTGTTGTGAGTTTAGGTAATGAATAGGGCAGGGAGAAAAAGATGGCTAACAACAGTATTGATAATGAAGTCAAGTACTAGTACCACTGATACAAGCCCAAACCCAATAACAATAAGACTAATATGTTAAACTTAGAGAAATTGGGATAAAAACTGTGTCTTCTCCTTTGGAAAATTCTCATTTAAATAATATGATACAATCTGATTTCTAGCCTTGAAGTTTGCTAAAAAGCTATAAAATGGTAACCTACAGCTGGCTAACTAATTAAGGATATAATTACACAGTAACCTACAGCTAGCTAACTAATTAAGGATATAATTACACAATAACCTACATCTGGCTAATTAATTAAGGATATAATTACACAATTACAGCTATACAATCATACAAGATATAATTACAAATCTGCACAAATAATGACAAATATTCTGCCTATCAATTCTATTGACATCCCCCCTCAAATTGATGCTGGTGAATCTACAAGCATCAATTTGCTCACCAGGAAATTATGTCGTTGACGTGTCAAAGACTAGGTGAGGATGTCAGCGAGTTGAACAGATGTTGAGGCATGAGGTAGAGTGATAATTCTACGGTCATAGGCTTCCCTGATTGAATGGCAATCGACCTCTATGTGCTTTGTTCTTTCATGGTATACAGGATTTGCTGCAATCTGTATGGCACTTGTATTATCAGCATACAACAGAGTTGGTGTTGCTTGTGAACAACCAAGTTCTGAAAGAAGGCCCCATAACCAAATAATCCCAGAGCATGTTGCAGACATGGACCGATATTCTACTTCAGTTGAGGATTTAGAGACAGATTCTTGTTTCTTGCATTTCCAGGAGATAAGGGCATCTCCGAAAAATATACACCATCCAGTAGTAGACTTCCTTGTGTCGGGACATCCAGCCCAATCATCATCGTTGTATGCTTGAAGTTGTATTGTTGCACTTGTCGGAAAGAAGAGACCATGACTGGGAGTGGCCAACAAATATTTAATGATTTGTTGTACTGTTGTAAGATGCAAGTGTCTAGGATTTTGCATGAATTTGCTGACTGTGTGGACCGCAAAAGAGATATCAGGTCTTGTGATGGTTAGGTAGATGAGACTTCCTACCAACTTTCGATATAAATTTGGGTCTTGTACGAGTTCACCTTCATCCCGTCTTAACTTGACATTAACTTCCATGGGAGTGTCAACTATAGTTGCAGTGTTGAGACCAGCTAGCTGAATTAGATCCTGAGTATATTTGTGCTGAGTGACAAAGATGCCTTTTTGTTGGAATTGTACTTCTAATCCCAAGAAATAAGTGAGTTGTCCAAGATCTTTCATGTGGAAAATTTTATGCATCAATTGTTTGATTGTAGTTATAGCCTCTTGATCTGAGCCGGTGACAATAATGTCATCCACATAAACAAGGAGAATCACAATTCCTTCGGAGGTCCTTTGAAGAAAAAGAGATGGATCATAGCTTCTTTGAATGAAGGAGAAACCAAGTAGTGTTGTGCTAAACTTTTCAAACCACACTCTTGGTGCCTGTTTTAATCCATACAAAGAACGTTTTAGCTTACAAATAGTATTAGGTAATAGTGAGGGCATACCCGTAGGAAGTTTGATATAAACTTCTTCTTTGAGGTCACCATGAAGGAAGGCATTTTTGACATCTAACTGGTGAATTAGCCAAGATTCAGATGCAGCAATGGCAATAATAGTCCGCACAATAGTCATCTTGGCCACCGGTGCAAAGGTCTCTTCATAGTCTAGGCCAAACTCTTGCTTATTTCCAAGAACAACCAATCTAGCCTTGTATCGATCTATGGATCCATCTGAACGCAACTTTATAGTGAATACAAATTTACTACCAAGAAGTTTAACCGATGGAGGACATGGAACAATGTCCCATGTCTGATTTTCCTCTAGTGCAAGAAGTTCAATTTATATAGCATCCTGCCAACATTTATGCTCCATTTCCTGTTTATATGAAGAAGGAATAGAAACAGATCCTAAAGTTATTGTCAAAGATAAAGATTCAGAAAAACCATACTTTTTCGATGGTTTACGAATGCGAGTACTGCGACGTAAAGGGGTTGGTTCTAGTGGATGCGCTAGATCAGCAGCCAGAGAATGATCAGAATGGGACCTTGAAGGGGTTGAAGGCTGAATTAGTGGAAGAGTCGGACGTCTTTGGTAGACAATGACAGGAGGACAACCTTGTTCTTCTGCAAAACTGTAAGGAAACAATGGAAAAACAGATTTGGATGTAGAAGATTGAGTGTCTTCGTTAGTAGCAAAAAAAATATTTATCTTCTTGAAAGATGACATTTCTAAAAACCTAAATCCTATATAAGTGAGGATCACAGCATATAAAACCCTTTTGATGGGCTGAGTAACCAAGAAAAACATATTTAACAGATTGAGCTGTGAGTTTGGTGCGTTCTAGTGGCTGAAGATGAACATATCAGACACAACCAAAGGTGCGAAGAGTAGAATAATTGGGTTGCTTACCAAATAACCTTAAGAAAGGGGAATCATTGTGTAAGATTGGAGAAGGCATTCGATTAATAAGGTGGATAGCAGTTGAGAGAGCTTCACACCAAAAACGGACAACATTAAGAAGATGGCGGTTTTTTCTTTTATGATGTGACCTTTTTTGCAGTAATTAAATAACTTTGTAGAACATTTGGAAGCAAAATGTTTGTGGCCTTTGCAGCAGAAACATTGGACAGTACTCATGTCTCGACCTCGAGGTTTGCCTTGTACTGCATACGCTACAGGAAAGGAGGCAGATTTCTGGTGTTCCATGTTTGTCTGAGTGAGGAGACGTTGTTCTTCACGAAGCAATGCATTGAGGCGTTCATCCAAGGAGGGAACAGGAGCCCTGTTAATTAGGTTGGTCCAAATGCCCTCAAAATTAGATCTCAATTTCATAAGAAATTGATCTCGTTTTATGTTGTCATGAACGTTTTGGACTGCAGTTTGTCCTTCAGTCGACAAATCTTTATAGACAATGTCAGTATATTCAGCCCAAAGATTCATGAAAATGAAAATAAAACTCAAAAATTGAGATACTATCCTGTTGAAAAAGAGCAATTTCATGCTCAAGCTGGAACCTGCGAGCAGTGTTCGTTTGGTTATAAATTTTCTTCAGATAGTCCCACATCTTTGCTGCCGTTGTGAAGGGTTTGAGATTGAGGACGATATTAGGCTCAACAGAGCCTATGATCCAAGTCATTACCTGTGCATCTTTGGCCTCCCATTGGGCATGTGCTGCCTGGTGCGTAGTTTTGTCAGGAGCAGAATCAGTTTGTCAACATGACCCCAAAGCTCCTTTCCTTTGACAAACATCTGGAACTGGAATGCCCAGGTGGAGTAGATTTTTCCATTAAGACTGATGTAATGTCCCACATCGGTTGGAGAGGGGAACGAAGCATGCCTTATAAGGGTGTGGATACCTCTTCTAGTGTGAGGCCTTTTATGGGGTGTCTCAAGAAACAAAACCGTGAGCCCAAGGGCAAAGCGGACAATATCATGCTACAGGGTTTGGGGCTGTTACATTTGGTATCAGAGCCTGGCCCTGGACCGATGTGTACAGCGGGGACGCTGTATTCCCAGTGGGGGAGGATGTAATGTCCCACATCGGTTGGAGAGGGGAACGAAGCATGCCTTATAAGGGTGTGGATACCTCTTCTAGTGTGAGGCCTTTTATGGGGTGTCCCAAGAAACAAAACCGTGAGCCCGAGGGCAAAGCGGACAATATCATGCTACAGGGTTTGGGGCTGTTACATTCAGTTAAATGTAAAAGAATACGTTGTGTATTGATCTGTGTCAGGGAGTTACAATATATAGAGACCCTAATGGGCTTAAGTGTAAGGCCCAAACCTAATCCAAACCTAATCCTAATACAGTCAGAATACAGTCAGACTATTTACGGATAAGACAGAATCCAATCATATCTAATCAAATCTAATCATATCATATCTAATATTCTAACACTCCCCCTCAAGTTGGTGCGTATATATTATGAGCACCAAGCTTGTTACAAATGTATTCAACCCGAGGACCTCTAAGAGCTTTAGTGAAAACATCTGCTAGTTGATTAGAGAGGTTGACAAAAGCTGTCTTGATTTCTCCTGACTGAATCTTTTCCCGAATGAAGTGACAATCAATCTCTATATGTTTAGTCCTCTCATGAAAAACAGGATTAGAGGATATATGTAGCGCAGCTTGATTATCACAGATGAGTGTCATGGGTTGTTTCTGTTCACAAAGATGAAGCTCCTGAATCAACTGCTTTAACCAGATCAACTCACAGGTAGTATTTGTCATTGCACGATACTCAGCTTCTGCACTAGATCGGGAAACAACAGGTTGTTTCTTACTTTTCCATGAGATTAAGTTTCCTCCGAAGAAGACACAATAACCAGAAGTAGAGCGTCTGTCCGAGGGTGATCCTGCCCAATCGGCATCTGAGTAACCACAAATTTCTGTATTTCCCTGATCCGAATACAACAAACCTTTTCCTGGTGCTCCTTTGATGTATCGGAGGATCCTCACAGCAGCATCCCAATGTGAATCACAAGGGGAATCAAGGAACTGACTGGCCGTACTGACAGCGAAAGAAATATCTGGCCTAGTCACAGTAAGATAATTGAGCTTCCCAATTAGCCTCCGATAACGTCCAGGATCAGAT